AGTGTTATAAGAAGATGAAGATCATCAGAACTATGTGATGATATATTAGAGCAATACGTTCCGAACAATCTGGTCACACATATACTCGTTAAGAACATTTATATATACATAAAAATATAGGGTCAACTAGACTAGAAATAGAGGGTAAGAAGAGACAAAGATAATAAAGAAAATAATGTGAAAGCAATTTGAAACCTCATCACTGTGGATAATAAGCAAATATTACCAGAGTAGGTTTAAGGTGAGAAATATATTGTAGTAAATGGTTTAATTTCGAGGCTATCATCATCGTTCTGGGCAATATTCTCACCATATAGAAGGGAGTTTGTTAATTATTCCACCACAGTAAAGTCAGCTCGTTCTGTTGACTTTGCTTTTAATTGGTTGTCTTCGTATATTCGTTGTCTTTTTTGTCTTAATATTCAAGTTAACAGTCTTATTTATGTGAATGACCTGTCTTTTTATATCATTTGAAGTTCTTTGGTTCCATAGGGGTTAATACACTGAAAACATTAAAGGACATTTTCTTAAATCAAACGAAATTTTTTAGAATAGGGCTGTGGTGATTGATCTCACATGAACGCTTAACTTCTAGACTACTAATTGTTCGCGCGAGACCGAAGATCCTGTATTCAAGCCCCATGTACGTAATCATGGATGAGCACTACTGGGGAGTCTCATACAAGGTGAATCGGCCATCCAGTGCTTCCAGGTTTTCAGAGGTGGTCTCATATTCATCGGTTCATAATTTCAAAGAAAAGACGTTTTGAAAAGGAACGATATGATTGTAGAACTATGAACAAGGAAATTTATGTCCTGAGAATTGCCTCACACCAATAAGTATTATCAAGTTATTCTTTCTTCCCTCTTAGGAAAAAAAAACGTTTATCATAAACACTTCCTTATTTCTTTAAGACTGATGTTTTACTGAAATCTTTAACTTCATTAGAGAGTTTACTGATAAGCAACTGTCTGAATTCATATAAGTGGCAGAAAACTTAACTTCAATATACATTCTGGACGTAATAAAAAAACATTAGTTTTTCGTTTTAACAAACGATAAATAATAATGACGTATAAAATCTTGTACTATATTTATAATAAATGAAATCCAATAAATGACAGTTGAAAGTTTCATTTATTTCTATTCAAGCTTATGTTAATTATTTAGCATAAAGCTCCTAACCAACTTAATGGACTATAATTGTGTTATCACTATAATTTTAATCAAATCTTCTAACAAGATTTTTTTAACCTGTTATATAATTATCTGAATAGGTTCGTTGAGTAATTTTGTTATGACGAAAGAGATATTTCATGAATGTATATATTGTAGAGTTGATCGCTCTATGAAATACGATTAAAGAAACTGGGTTATAACTATAGCAAAGTCATCCTTACTATAACAACTTATTGTACCTTTATTATTGTTGTGCTTTTATGAAATATGTATGCTTGAACATCGCTTACCGCCTACGCATATATTCATTCTGCTAGCTTTATTATTAACTGCTTAGTTGATTCGATGATCCATTCATTTCCCTATATATATACACTCTCGGTCCGCTGACTTACTCATTCGCCTCACTGCTTTATGGTCTGAGTTATCTGCTAATAATAAAACTGTAGTCGCTGCTTCTCTTTGCCTTCTGATTTCAAACACCGTTGAGGATTATATGATAACGGTTACGAGGGTGATTGCTCGACGAAGCACAACCACTACATAACCACCGGATAAATTTAAATTTATTGACCAAATGTCGCAATAAATTGATACAAGAAAGAAGTGTAACCCTTCATCAGTATGAGTAATCACACAAGTAATAAAATGAACACATGTATGAAATATTTAATTGTAAGATTTGAATTTTGTGGATCATCTATTAATTCATAAAATTGAAAGCTGAATAAACTGACTTACGTACTGATCACTATAAAACAAAGCTCTTTTGTAATAATCCATAACTTTTAAGGTTTTAAAATGGGACACTTATAATGGAAGTTAAGATATTAAACTAAAAACATTGGTCGATATTAAATAATTCAGCTAAGTTTATTAATTATTTGAGATTGAAAGGCTAGTTATTATAAACAGTCCCTTTTTATATTTTTAATAAGAGGTTTGGGTATTTTCATGTCTATACAAAGAGTAATTCTGTGGAATGACAGACAACCGAGCTTTGTACTCTGCAAATGATACGAAGCATAATTTAACAATTTTATCTCCTCAGAAGTTTTGTTCCATTGTGAACAACTATTGTTATCATCGTTATAAATATTCTACTACTGTTGTTTTACAGTTAGTATCAACTTTACTATTAAGTCTACTCGGTCATTAAAAATTTCTGTTTGTTATGTATGGTTGAATAGGCCACGATCATTTATTCCTATCTTATTCTAATATAAATTAAATATTGATTATTGTGGCATGTAATTTTAATTATTCTTACGAAGATAATGAACTGTGTGTGTTGATTCCTATGAATTCGCATTTTATTTTTTTATATTAGAATATGATTCAAAGAGTACAAAATTGTATTGATTCTTGTTATTCCATCGTTTCATTATTGACTTTGCTTTACGAAGTGCTTCGAATACTTGAATTTTTCAACAAAAAAGAACTTCTGTGCCGCTCGCAAGACATTCGAGTATTATCGAATTAGATTTCGACAGCCATATTAGCAAATATTATTGATCATAGTAGGTACCGTACTGATTAAACACATTATATAATAGAACATTTCATACTACTTAATTACGCCTGTTACCTCCAGTGAAGCATAGGCTGCTGAACAGTCAAGAAAGGTGATGTACACTGACTGGTTCCATCCAATTGATTGTTCAACAATGATCTGTAATGTCACGATTTGATATGTATAGAACCTAAACTTACGAAATCCGGACTGTTGATCTCAAAAATGAGCGTCTACTGAATCTTTCATCCGGTTCAGTAATACTCTGTTGAAAACTCCCTGATACTGATTCTAGTGTGATGCCTCTATAGTTCACCAGGTATATTCTCAGATCCTACCCATCTGTCCTTCTGTTTTTGAATTTCAGTGACTTGCTTACCTTCTTGGTCCTTGACTGGTATCTCTGGTTCAGTATAGTTCCCTGCCAGTTTCTTCGTCGTATCATATGGTTGCTTGAAATTTTGTTGTTGCAGTTTTTTCCACTTTCGTTTCTAGGTCTTCCATGTATTTCTTTTGTTGGCTCCAGTGCTATTCTTCACTCACTTGTTTGCTTCTGTTTATTCAGCTTGTGTCTTGACTTTTTTTGTTCTAGTTCGACTGTTGTTAATTTCTTTCTCCTTGTTCTTTCTGTTTTTTATTGGATCCTGCTCAGATAAACAATATAGATCCAATCCTTATGATGGTACTTTTTGGGGCATAGAATCTCCTGACATGTTGTAGTTAGTGCTTCATTGATCCCTTTAGGGTCACATAAATTTGCAAAGCTCTCGTCATTCTTGTTCCTTCCTTTCTGTACATTTTGTCCCATGATATCTTCATACCCAGTGTTGTCTTTTCCAAACTTAACATTCACGTCTCCAATCAGGATGGTTATGTTCTTTCCTTAGCACTTCTCTACGATTGACTGCAGTCCCTCAGCCTTGTTACACTGATAGTCTTCATTGTTATCCCTTCTTTGCTTTGGTAGATGCTTTGATGAATGTGGTTCCATAAGTACTCATTGTACTTATTTGGACAGCATCAGTGCAATAATTTGTCTGTTGGGAGAATTTTCTTCTTCGTGACCAGAGTAGAGCAGCATCTCTCTATAAGCTATGCTCTTCCGTCCAACCTGTTTCTAATCACCGACAAGGTGTGTCTTCTCATTCCCACAACTGCTTGACTGGTTCTCCCAGTCTTCTACATTGTCTGGACGTGTCATATGCCAGTTATTAAATAGTGTTATGTACCCAGTAAATACTGATCCCAATAAATAAACTGTGGCTTATCAGTTATCAAATAACCTATGTTTTATGCTATAAGTATTTCAATGAAAATGTATACTAAATACATACTATACCGTCTCATCATTATGTTTACCAGTCAGTGAAAATCATTTAGACAACGATTACAAATCATATACATAAACGACTAAGTTCCATTTTTACTTAAACATTTAACAAGCCAATATACACTACCATTAGGAAAGTACTGAATTATTCCCTTGTTGATAGTGCTGAGTGAATTTCGATTAGTTTTTCTTGGGATAAGTGTGTTCTGTACTGATTGCCTCGATATGGCCAATTTCCACAAGTTCAGTCTAGTGTTTCATCAAACCAGCTGCCAACTAACCTCACTAGCTTACTTGGTAACTCGTTGAAGCGAAAGGTACTGAATTAGAGTCTATGGGAATATCAATATTGGGGGCCAGGTACATCCAGCTGACAATTCCCCAATAGGACGAAGCATACATTCTGCATTCTACTGCTAGTCACATATCGATTCGTTTAAGTAAACATTTAACATATAAGAAGTTATAGTTTGCATTGAGTAAATATATAAAACAAACCCTGACGGTATTAGTGTTAGCAGCAGTAATGAAGATTTTGACTAACTTTCACAACACGTATAATCTAAAGATCATTGATAATAAATAATCAAATTAACAATGACAACAAATGTTTTTACATGATCATTTATAATACCGTATATCTGTCAATAAAAAAGTGTAAGAATTAATTTAAAATGTAAACAATGAACATGATCTTACGATGGAGAAATTAAATCCACAACACAAAATAACCATAGAAATCGAAGAATGTACAATGAAAAATCCAGAAGGTTTAATGCAAAAACTAATCATTTGTCACTGATTACTTGATTGTCATCAATATGTCTAAAATAAATGCTGTATGTTTAGTAATGGAAAGTAGCTGAGGAAGTTTCAAAAAAGAGGAAAATTTAGAACTGAAAAGCTAGTAAAACACTACAGATTATTCACATGGGATTTATATACATTTATAATGGCCTATTTAACACTGTTCAAAATTATAAACATGTGAATGAATAAAGCTTGATAGAGAATATACAAACAAAGCAGACCAATTCCAATGACATTTTGTTATTGAGACTAATATTTTCCTGAACTTTTGAATTCGTTGAGGAATTAGATGCCGTAGAATTCAATGCTTTCTCTGGGGGTATTTCGGTTTTCTTTGAAGATTCCTTTGTTTTGTTGTCATTCACCGGATCATCTACAAACAAACAATCAATGGAAAATAGTTTCTTTCTGTAGATTATGGAAAGTTTTGAAGGTAAATTTAATTTTATTAAAAATATTTGATTACTTGTTACTGGTAAACAACAACGCAATATTTTCAGAGTTCAAAAGGTTGAGTGCTATCAATTTTTAAACTGAAAAAATTGGATGTTTGAATTTAACAGGTAACCAAGTAAGAATATTAAAGCTTACATGAAAAAATTTACGAGTTTCATTTGTACCAGTTAAGAAAATATTCAGATCACCAAGTTATTGATTCTAAAGGATGCAGAACCACCATCACAGTCAACCATTTTTTAATAGAGAATCATTTTCTTTTTTAACATTGTTCTATTAAGATAAACTACTCTCTAGTAAACAGAATATGTGGAGCCCTTTATTTTGTCGTCATTTAGATCGGACGATGTTGTCGAAAGGGCTTTCCACTTTAGTGGCACAGTGGATCTGACTCCAAGGTGATTGCAATGATGATTGTTGTTGAAATATATATGTCGCCTATCCTCGTATTTAATCATCTACTTTAATCGCGTTAGTCAATAACGGATTTAGATAAGTCAAATAACGAGAATGGACTTTTGAATACATGTATCTTGTAAATGAAGCGAATGAAATGGGGAGAAGAGAAACGAAGCAGAGTGGAGATGGCGGGTAAGCCAACTCCCATTTGACGAAGCGTTAATCAATATTTATAGGCAACAAAAGTAAGTTAGAGACATGTGATGAGTAATGGGATAAGAAATGTACACACACCTACGCGCTCTTACTAAAACAGTCAAAATTGATAAGCGAATAATTAACAAGGTCAAAATATGACTTAAGTAGAATGAATAGAATGGGCTGTCGGAAAGCTAGAATAAGATATATAGGCTTAACATAACCGACACTACGAATACACCTATTGGAACATTAAATAAGAAAAATTAGTTCAGCGAAGAGTTCTCATTTCGGCGAATTCATTTTCAGAACTGTACAATCGCAAATACATATACTTATTTTTACAGGATGATAATAATACTGATTATAAACTTCTGTTAGACATGGTGACAGTGAGGTCAAATAAACAAAGGTCTTTCGACGCGTACTTTATCCAAAAGAATTCGAGAACATTGTCCGGCGTGGCTAAAATGAGGAGGCGACGGTTCAGTAAGAAATTCAATAATTTAACACGTTGTGAATACAGGTCACTCACTAAAGACAGACTCTGCGTTCAAGGTCATCTACAAGGTAGGTAGAAGTCTTCCAAAGACAATTAGACTACATCCTCTTTGCATTGCTGAAGCATTAACCATACATCTGGGAACACCAGAATTGTGTGTGCATAAGAGACTAGTACAACCTCTTCTTCTACCATGGTCTTAATTTCTTATAATCTGTTTTTCTTTCTCATACTCTTCCTCCTTTACAGCCATCTGCCTCACCTTCCATCTTCCTCTTAAATCCTCTACCCCCAACTGGTTTATTTTGTTTCCACGATCATTCTGATTTCATTTATTCTCAATTTCAACATCTTATCATGCTGAGCCATCCGTTCACATTGATAATTTCCATATCTATTTTTTGATGAATACTTAAGCCATTAACAATCAAACCATTATTAAACTTTCCTTGCTTTATAAAAAATCTTTTTAATACCTTTGTTTATTTGACCTCACTGTCACCATGTCTAACAGAAGTTTATTATCAGTATTATTATCATCCTGTAGAAATAAGTATACATATTTGTGATTGTACAGTTTCGAAAATGAATTCGCCGAAAAGAGAACTCTTTGCTGAACTAATCTTTCTTATTTAAACTACTCTTTGTCAATGCTTATCTTGCTCAAATGTTGATAGCACATATTATATTTTAACCGTCACTTAATAGACCATATTGCTTTTATTTGTTGAAGATTTTCAGTAGTTTAAGCATTATTACTGATATTGATTTCAATCAATAATGTATTGATTGAAGTAAATTTAGCAAGACTATAATTTATGGTCGAAACAATCAAGTATAAGATAACAGGTCTCGGATTTTAGTGTGAAATTCACTCATCCATTTGCTTAAATAGAGTCTCGGTATTATAACTGATGTCAGTTCTTGATGAAAACCCTAAATTTAATTCATAACCTTAACTGTCCACTGTAAATCATAATTCGAATTCCTCACACTGCTTTATAACCCTCATTTGATCCTAGTTATTAGGTGAACACCTTCAAGGTCACTTTAGCGTTGTTCACAGGTCGTTCATAAATTTTAGACTCAGCGTAATTTTTTTAATCTAGGAAACTTTTTGTTGTTATAAATGAAACGTGGTTATTTTTGTATATTTTCTAAATTTTGATAATCCCTACTATATTCTATGTGGTTAACAGAAAAATGCATCGGAGTACATTTAAGTATAAAATATCAATTTAAACGGAATAAATAATACAAATCCTAGAATTCACCATTGAAAGACCATAGATTTTACTACTTTATTTGGTAAAATCGGAGTCATGTTAGAAACAAAAATAAATATTAACATATAAGTTAGGCAGAGTAATTATTCAAACATTTGAAGGGACAAAACTAAAAAAATGATCGAAGGGAACTGAAATAATTGCAGTAGAAATTCGACATAATAAGATACATACCATTTTATTATGGTTTGAAAATAGACAAAATGAATAGTATACCTTAGGTTGAATTGGGCTCAACCCTATCATTCTGTTTATTCTTCAAAATTAACTAATAAACAGAAAAAATGTTCTCCAGCTTTATGATAAGATAATACTTTCTAAATCTAATTCTTATACAATTAAGATAGTTAATAGTAGCTAAAGGTGAAGTCCATTAACAGTGATGATATCAGTGAGACTACGTATCACAGATGTAAAAAAGTAGAAATACGATTCAGTAAACTTCGTAAATGTGATCTTTTACAAACGCAAAAGGATCATAGGGAGTCCAAATTTCAATACCCAATCGTAACCTAAATGCTATACATAGACTCACGTAAACAATAATAATACTGCGTTACTATCAGCCATGGACAGTGTTGTAGGATTCCAGTTGGTTTCATTGTTTAAATCACTAACTAATCGTAGATGGACCACTACTGAAAACCAGGGAGTACTGGATAGCCTTTCCGTCCTAAGATTACTTAGCAGGAATCCAATGGTGTACTGGTGTATCTTTGATCAGTTCACGATGTTGCGCAGTCATCTTTCACTGTATGGGGTGAATAACTTAATTAACCGTGTCTGATTTCTACCGATCACTGCGTCTCACAAGAACTTCAAGAATTTCATCTTGAAGCCAATTATTAATAAAAAATAATTATTATCATAATATGGTTTAGCGCCATTTGTCTGAAGCAATTCAATACAGCTATTTGTTTACTTTAACCTCAGTTGGATATTCAGAGATCCCATCCACTTTTTGCTGAAACATCAGATTTCTGATAATAATCAGTCAATAATTTCAGTATCCCTAGTATACTATACTACTAATTATTTTCTGCAGGAAAACGAACCGACATTTTAACAGTAAGGTTTATAAACGAAAAAATGTTATATTTGCTTTACAAAAACATTTTGGTTTGTTTTTTATTCAAACTAGAGTATATAAATACCTTGTAGTTTTTTCTTAGACTCGGATGAATTGTCGAAAGATTCATTTTCACTAAATACTGTGTACTGTCTTTCATTAGCATTATCGTCGATTGAATTGTCAGCAATATTTAATTCACAATCTTCATCATCTACAAAACATCCTTGAACCACAATTTGATCCGACAAATCATCTGTATTGACGATTTCAGCTCTGTTGTTAGTTTCACTAAAATACTTCGATGGCTTTGATTCAAAATTATTTGGATTGATTTGAGGTATATTTATATCACTTGACAAAAGAGAAGGATGTGTACCACTTGACTCTGAAATGAACAAGCCTTCTCTATCTGATTTCTTCTGATTAAGTAGAGGGTTAGTCAATGGAACATCATTCTTAGAATTCACCTGCAATGAATAAAATGTGGACTATGTAAGAAATTCAAAAACTATAACCCTACACAAACATTATGACAGCTAAGTTTACCTTTATAATTTACGTGTTATCTACTGAATGAGATCATTGATACTTAGTGAAATCTAGTTTATAACACATAACGAGGATACTTTTCAGTGTATCATTCAATATATACAACTCTTGCGGCTATAATTCACGTTTCAAACAAATGAAAAGTCAATTAACTCTTAATGCAGTATAGAATATCTAGCAATCCTACTTTAATTCACAAGATTCGATAGATGAAAATCAAATCTCCCAGAAAAAAAAAACAAATTTCTGTGTATTTATATTCGAGAGAAAAGTGAATAATCTACATTACTCACTAGAAATTTATTTAATGTCTAGTTTACTTTCCCATTTGTAATAAAATATATTTTTCTTTTCAACTGATCAGAACAATTACAACATCTTGGAAGACATTTTACATTAAACTCATGGAAGCCTAAATTGTCTACTTATAAAAACAAAAACTATTTCAATATACTTGAAACTATGCAAGTTTTTGGTTTGAATTATAAAGGTGTATTTCGTAACAATCTATTAACACAGTTCATTTGTGTCATTTTTCTAATATGATTATCTAAGCCTTCAAAAAGCCATTACACTACATATTCCCGTTAGATGTTAATGACCAATGTTCCCCTTATCATTATTTGCTTGAAATTACTATTATTCAAAAGCATACAATAACTTGTATACCTTTATACTTTATTCTAAATGACAATTTTAGTATTCTAAGGTTTTAAATTGACTGAAACAATTGTGATCAATTTTATTTACGAAATTAAGCTTGATGATCTGATTAAAATCCAAACAGTGACCAACAATAAAATAACCTCCTTTTTTAAGCAGGATTGTGTAGGGGCTAGCAAGGAAAGTAAGTCCACCTGTTTCGTTCTTTTCTGGATTCGCCAGCTGTACGTACCAGAACCTCAGTACAAATATTCACACATGGACTTTAACCAAGTACCTTTTACTTGAAATGCTTAACGCATTATCCACTGAGATACTGAGTCCAGATAGCCACTGGCTTGTGTAACGGAGTGAATTTTAATCTATTTATTTTGGTTATTTAAATATTCCCTGGAATGTTCAGTGGACTCAGTATCTTAGAAGATAACGCGTTAGGCTTTAGAAGCACAGGAGTACTAGTATATCCAGCTAATGAGTCTCTAATAGGACAAAACGCACGTACTGCATTTCAAGAATAATCGCTATCCGACCCTCCTAAAGTATGCTTGTGACTTAATGTGAGCATCGAAGTAATCCTCATATGGTGCTTATACACCGGAAAAAATTGATAAATTGCAGTTCATAACATCAACAGGGAGATCTAAATAACCAATCCGAAAGGAATTAAATAACTTTTAATTTGTAGTATTTACCAGACTACACAAAGCGTTATAAGGTGAAAAAGTTTTAGTCTTGAATACAAAATTAGTTTTCTGTGTTTCACCTCATAAACGTAAACTCTATCCATAAGAGGGAAATGAACTAAAATCTTTGATGGGTATATTTTTTACACTGAAATATATACTATCAAAGAGAAAACATTTTCAGCTACCTACTTGAAATTAAATCTCAAATTTTCATATAAATTAATTTTATCTAGCGTAGAATGTAATTCAAAGATACAAAACATATGTAGCTGAACAAAAGTTTCAATTTTCAGCGTCTGAATAGTACTTTTATTAACAAATATCTACCTCAATTTTAATCTTAGTAGGAAAAGAGATAGCTTTTAAATAGTCAGTTTGATTGTATAATGCCAGAGTAAAACGTTATTTATTATTAAATGTGATGTACCTTTTGAGCATTATTTTCCTCTGTCCGCTCCTTTCGTATAACATTCTTTTCTTTTGAAAAATTGTATTTTAAATCATTGCTTGTTATTTTCACTTCGGGATTATTTAACTGTCCATTTATAGTGAACTCTGGAACTTGACGTGTATACCTGTAAATATGTAAGTAATGAATAAGTAAACTTGAATGTTAGAATTTTGCAATATTTATCATCCACAAAATATTGGAATTGCTATAAACCAAATTGCATACATATAATAAGTCGACATTCTAACGTATTTGAAATTCAATGAAACATTTTTTTCTGAACGTAAATAAAACTACGGCACAATTATAAAATAATTAGCACTTAACAAAAGTAAGGTGCGATTATATCTGTACCCGTGTATTCAATTATGTGAAGTAATTAACCAATAATTCTAATCTCTGGCATTGTATTCCATACAGACCCCAAAATAATATTCCCTTTGTAGACAGTTACGCAACATATTTAAAATTACATATGAAAGTATATGATGGTTTGAAATATGTCACCAGTTTATTTAGTCAGTATAGTTAATTAGTTACTAAATTTATGAAATGAGGTATAACTATGAGTCTCGAAGACTTGTATATAGATCACTGGTTTACTACGTCATATGTTTTTTTTAAAAAAAATTAATTATTTCTAGCAATGAATTCTACTTACAGCCTGAGTTCACAGTACAGCTACTACAATAATTAACCCAATAAACTGTAGAATAAAATAGTCATATAGATTTTGCATACATCTCATTGGTAGTTCACTTACATAGTGACCAATAAAAATAACTTAAGGGGATGCCCCATTGTTGAATAGTATATTTAATAACAGTTGAGTAACGTTAAATGCAGCAAATATTATAAATAACATTAAATAAATCTTATTAAAACATTAAAATTTAATAAATGACCTTGATTATCAGTCGTGACAATAATATTTAAGTAGTTCGATGAATAAATCAATGTCATAGTCGACGCCTATATAGTTTTGTTCGGCTTATTTTATCCTTTAATAACAAATAATACTAATGTTGTCAAGAATAGGTTTGCGGAGATTGTTGAGTTTCATTTAAATCATGAATCAATCCGTGTTAACATTAATTAGTTCAGAATTTCAAGGATTAATGTTTATGACGATAGTTTGGGAGATAAAAATGAACCTTAGAATAATAACAATAATCAATTTATTCAATATTATACACTTAGTGGAATATGAAATTCTCAGCATACAATATTTCAACAACTTCCTCGTACTGTAAAAAGACGTTACAAAATGTATAAATATATGAATTCTTAAAATAAATAAAAAAAATTGTCCAAAGTTAACAAGCAATAAACGAATCTATATAATGGAGAATCGACGACAAGTCCAAGTGCATAGATTTTTGGTTAAGTAAACTCTAACAACCTGTCCTTTGTGGAGTATATGTCCTAGGTATGGTATTATAAAGCATGTGTACTTGTGTTTGAGAGTATGAATCGTAATATAATTGCATTTCATTCTACTAGAAGGTCTACAAGTAGGAATATGTGAATAGTCGTTTCTTAGTATAGACTTAGGAATGATTACATTTTATTGAATAGGGAATTAGTTTAGAGTTAAAAATTGTTACAATAGTAAACTTTTAAAAGATTTTAAATTGTGAAACTATGATATAACAGAAGTTAGATTATATTATATACTTTACACCCAGCAACTTTGTGTCCCATAAACAGCATAATACCTATAGAATATTAAGTTGAAAACTAATGGCCCACATGTTTATTTAGCTTACAATATGTGTAAATAAAATGCTAGGTAAATATGAATTCAGTTCAAAACAATTTAGGAAATAATTCAAATATTGATTGAATATTGCCAGTAATTGTGACAAGCCACCTTTAAAATGTTGTTTGAGTTAAATAAAATAGGAATTACAGATTGAAATTTAATGAATTACACAATAATCTATATACATATTGAAATATCTGTAGAATGGTCTTAAATTAGAATAATAATTCCTTGGTAAACTAAATAAACATGAATAATAATAAGCAAAAATAACGGTGTAGCATGTTTTTCTAATTTAATATTATCACTTTGTATTTATTTACCTTCGAATAAATTGATTGTACTAACCATTATGAAACAAATTATCAGTTTATATTTAAATATTTATTAGGGTTTATGTTGAATCATTTATATTCATTATAAATCTGGTTGTGGACAGATATACTCGATTTTGCAGACAATTGTTCAATATTACTTTATTCATATTAACCATTCGTCTTATTGACAGACTTCTCCTTGTGAATCCTATGAATTAGCAATAGATAATTACGGTGGAATGCATACACACTCAAGGAGAAATAATAAGAAATAATAAAGAAATGGGTCATCAACCACTTGTTACATGTACAAAATACTTTGGAGAGTGAAGTAACTTAACATGTTGACTATCGATAACAAAATGTTTTTTTGATTATTTTTGAGTCGTTACAGTCATAATTCAGCGCAACATATTTGTAGTTTGTTAAATTTGAAATTAACTGACGACTGTTGAATTGTATTATATAGTGTCTAATTAAACAATTATAATTACTTGTATAATACAACACTGAAAATTAGGAAGAAATATTTCACGATTTTCGTATCTACACAGAAAACGACCATTTTAAAGGTGTCTAATTGAAAAACCTGATCTGATTGTGTTTTCCTTTGATTAAAAAGAATTAAGAGTTGTAGTTTATCTATGTATGATAACTAAGTATGCAAGAAATAAAAACAAACATAGTTGAGAATAGAATATTTGAATACAACAAAATTCGCATAGACAATAAGTGTCATCTTAATTTATTCTTTTCATTAGAGTGATAAAATACACCTGAAACGTTTTATTAAGTTACTTGTGTTAAAATAAAGGCAAGATAAAGACAACAGTGATTTTTATTTTAAGTTACAATTTAGAATTGGTCATAAGATTTTAAAACTTATTCACTAAATCTCATGAATTCAATTATTAAATTACTACAATCTCCACAAAACTTCCCTCTGATTATAATCATAATATGCTCACTAGTGACTATCTCCAAGAGTTATTTCCTGGAGTTGTAATGAGAATCCGTGTGTTGTGAGATAATAACTCACTAAAGACAATAGTGGACGGTGGAACGATTTCGTGGATTATTTGGAGCCAGACATTAACACCGTAGGATGCCGGCCGGTTCAGTGATCTAGAGGTTAAGCGTTCGCGCGCAAGACTTATAGGTCCTGGGTTCGAATTTTGCGGGGCGAGATCGTGGATGCACACTGCTGAGGATTCACATACTAGGATGAAACGGTCGTCTAGTGCTTGTACGTTTTCCATGGTGTTCTACCTCCAATTGACTCAATTATTAAATTACTACAATCTCCACAAAAACCCTTCTGATAATAATAATAGTAATAGTTAAATAAAATTAACGTGATGAAAATACAAAATCAAAAGATAGTTTATACATAAGTCATATTAAGTTATTCTATAATTAAAATCACTCTTGATTTATTGAACTTGATGTTGATGAAGTTAAGGAAAGGGATTAATCATACTTTTGATTGAAAGAGTGATAGGTAAAAGGTTATTTATTTAAAAGTAGTGAATGTATAAAACGTTAACAGACAAATTCTTTTCATAATTCCTTTTTGATGGAAATTTGTTCTTTGAGCTGGATGGTTTGGTCGTAGAGCTTTCATAGTTCCTATAAACGACATCAGCACAAACTTCAGATAGAAATCATAATTCATAATTCCTTATTCAAATTTTTTTATAAAAAAAAGACTAAATTAAACTTATCATTCTGAAATTTCTATAGACCAGATAAAAAGTTGTCATTATAAGAAGGAAAAACTCTTAAAACTAATCATATTAAAGAATCAACAGTAATATTTATTTGTATAGAGACTAGAAAATATGATATCATTGTTTGGTTTTTAATTTTCATTATTAAAATAAAAAAAGCCGTGACCAGTGGAGCTAATCAGTGTCGAGTAGAAACAGGTGTCTACCTCAGTATAATGGAAAATGGTCGCGCCATTTCGTGGATTCGTTGAGGTTAGACATTAACACCATTGAATGCCGGCTCAGTGGTCCAGTAGGTTAAGCGTTCGTGCGTGAGACTGAAGGCCCCGGGTTCGAATCCCGCGAGCAGGATCGTGGATACGCACTTCTAAGGAGTCCCACAACAGGACGAAACGGCCTTCTAGTGCTTCCAGCTTTCCAACGGTGGTCTAACATTAATCGGCTCATGATCTCAACCAAAACCTAACAATCTTCACAACCAATACACTGATAAAATGTGAAACAAACCTTGATTGAATTACTGAAGAAAACTGTTTAATTAACTTGATTCTTTTTCTTTTGATTTGTGAATGTTAACACACGAATTAATTACATAATGTTCATTTTCCTTAAATCAATCTTTCATTATACACATTATCAAGGAAATATTTTTAAAATAGATTTCGATAAAGATCTTAATTTAAATAGAATCATAAATTAAAGTAAAATATTTTATTGAACACAAATATATTTCTCATGAATTTTTAAAGAAGAGAATCTATTGTTGTTTTGTTTTCGTAAGTGGATAGAAATTCTAATCTCAATACATCCTTTTACATTAATTATTAGAAGTAAAGGATTTTTATTAACGTTGACATAACAACTGTTTAGTATGAAATTTACTTTACATTTCCAAACTGAGTTTCTTTACAAAATATAAAGTATGTAAGAAATTATGTGAAATTCAGATGAATAGGATGGTGGTTGGAGGTAGTCGACAGGAAACCCTGAACCCGAGTTTCGTGCTATTTGGCACTCGTCAGCAAGGTGTACCTGTAATCTTGAGGGAACTGGTGCTCCCTTACGGATTCGATACTGTGTCACCCAGCTTCACAGTCAAAGACATTACCACTGGGCTATCTGGACCGACCTCGTGTAGGATCGAATCCGTCGGGGAGCACCAGTTCTCTCAAAATTGCAGGTACACCTTGATGAAGAGTGCCACATAGCATGAAACCCGGGTCCTGTTGACTAACTCCAACCAACATCTTATCTTAATATAGTGCACGCAGTGTCAAGTCACATAAACTGGTGGCCACATTGCAGCTTGGTCGATAGCATTCAATCTGCACTACGAAGGACTTGACACGCATGGCATTGGTCACCACCACCCAGTGATCAATCAATTTTGAATTCAAATGAACATGTACATTTGATTTAAATCATGATATTTTTTATTTCCAAAGAAAATCCAATGAATATAATGTGTAACATACGAACAGTATCATAAACATTTACATTTCTACTGGTAACATTATTTTTACGTTAAGTTATTCTAATTACTCATTTAAGCCATTTTTCATCACCGAAATTGTATTAATATTTGAATATTAGTTTCACATGAATAAATACAATTCAGTATCTTGTATTATTATAATAAAAACCACACTAATAATTTATTGTAAAGAAATTCTTAACAACATCGAGAATTCATTATATTAAATTTTATGAAACCTGGGTATGCTAGTGAGTTATTTTACAGTACATAACAAAAGTTTTTTATCAGTATAGGGGTTGTGGAGATTGTTAAGTTTTTGATTGAGATCATGAATCAATTGATGTTAGACCATCGTTGGAAACCTGGAAGCACTGGATTGATTCATTATCTCAATCAAAAACTTAACAATCTCCACAACCCCTATACTGATAATTAACATGTGCTCACTAGTGACTAGCTTCGTGAGGGAATTCTCGGAGTTCTAGTGCGAAGCCGTGACCAGTGGAGCTAATCCGTGTCGGGCAGAGACAGGCATCTACCTCAGTACAATGGAAGTTGGTCGCGCAATTTCTTGGATTGGTTGATGTTAGACACTAACACCATTGGATGCCTGCTCAGTGGTCTAGTTGGTTAAGCGTTTGGCGCGAGACCGATAGGTCCTGGATTCGAATCTCGCAGGGAGCGGAATAGTGGATGCGCACTTCTGAGGAGTCCCATACTAGGACGAAACGGCCTTCTAGTGCTTCCAGGTTTCCAACGGTGGTCTAACATCAATTGATTCATGATCTCAATCAAAAAAATTGTTTAGTTAAGCTTTCATTGAAAGAAAGAAAAAAATACTTTGTTTAAATAAATCTAAACTTAAACATTGTTACATAATGAAATAAAAATAAATCGACTTAAAATTCAAACACAAGAATGATTGTAATCAACATTGGTAATATAAGTTAATAATAGCTATCAGTACCATAAGTATTTTTAAAAAAAACTAATACATTTTAGTTATTTTGTTGCTAGGTATTAATTTATTTTATTCCAGTTATAGTTGATAAGAACAGTTTAAGTATTAAATTATTACACCGCCAGGTATTTCTTTTATTAATTTTACATTTGTATACAAAATATAACAAGATTAGAACTATTTATAAATTTATCAACTACAATTTCAACTTATGAAATTTTCATTGGTAATATTAGTTCTATGTCAGAAGTTATTAACATACTTTAAACAAATTTATAACTTAACGTAAAAACACAATAATTTCTTAATTATTTATAAATAGTTCACTTTAGTGAATAGAAGTATATTTGAATTGAAACATTAAAATGATATGAACACCAAAAAATAGAATAATAAGTTGTAATTTTTATTGACCATCATCATAGTGATTGGATCTATATTGTTAATTTGAGCACGATTCAATAAAAATGAGAGAAACTAAGAGAATGAAATTAACAACAGTCAAACGAGAACAAAGAAAGTCAAGGCACAAGCTGAATACACAGAAGCAAACAAGCGAGTGAACAAGAGCATTAGAGTCAACAACAAAAAACAAATACGTGGAAGATCTAGAAACGACAGTGGGAAAAGCTGCAACAGAAGAAATTATCAGACAATGATATGATACGACGAAGAAACTGGCAGGGAGATGTACTAAACCAGAGATACCAATTAAGGATCAAGAAGGTAAGCAAATCACTGAAATTCAAAAACAGAGGAACAGATGAGAATAGCATTTTCAGGAACTCTTGAATTGACTACCTCCATTGAATCCGCCGTACATCGAAACGGCACACACACACGCCTGTCTATAGCTGTCACTCTACCAACGATCGAAGAAATCAAGATGGTCATCAGACAAGTGGTGAGTGGATAAGCAGAAGGATCTGAGAATATACCTGATGAACTACAGAGGCATCACACTAAAATCAGTATCAAGGAGTTTTCAACAGAGTATTGCTGAACCGGATGAAAGATTCAGTAGACGCTCATTTTTGAGATCAACAGACTGGCTTCCGTGAGGTTAAGTTGTACCCAGATCAAATCATGACATTACGGGTCATTGTTGAACAATCAATTGAATGGAACTCGTCACTGTACATCACCTTTCTTGACTTTGAGAAAGCGTTTGACAGTGGATAAGAGAACATTATAGAATCCTCCTTGATACTATGGAGTGAGTAGCTGAGAAGATCGTCAACACCATACAGAATTCATACGACGGACTACACAGCAAATTCGAACACGGAGAACAGCTGACAGATGCATTTCAAATGAGAACCGGTAACAGATAGGACTGTTTACCCTCCTAAGTTCTCTCTCACCTGTTGTTTGGCTGGATTACGAAGACCTACACATCTGAGGAGAAACACGTAACACAATAGGAATCTTGGATGTAGCTGAACGATTTGTAATTTGAAGATAACATAGCTCTTCTATCTCATGCACATCAATAAATACAGGTGAAGAAAGTCAGTGTAGTTGCATACTTTACAGCAATAGACCTCAACACACAAAGGAATAAGCAAGATTCCGGAATACAACACAATGAGTACCAACCCAATAACACTTGATAGAGAAAATTTGGATGAGATGGGTAGCAGCATCATCTATGAACAAGGAGTATTTGATGAAGAAGTAAAGGGGAGGTTCGGTAAAGCAATAGTAACATTCCTACAACTGAAGAACACATAAAACTCGGAAAAAATGTCAGCCAACATCAAAGCCAGATTTTTCAATACGAATATCAACACAGTTCTTGTGAACGGAGCTGAAACTTGGAAAACTACCACAACAATCACCTAAAAAGGTGCAAGTATTTATAAACAATTATCTGGGTAAGATACTCAGTGTTCGTCCTCCGAATACCATCAACAACAACGTGCTGTGGGAGAGAATAAACCAGCCTCCATTTGAAAAGAAAATTAGGAAAAGATTCTGGATGGGGATAGGACATACATTAAGTGACGAGGCAAGCGCTAACTTGGAATCCTGTAGTGCAAACGTAAAGAAGAAGACTAATGAACACTTTGCGTAGGGAATCTAAAGCAGACGCCGAAATAACGAATAGAGAATATTAACGACTTGAAAGGATTGCTGAGGACAGAGTTCGATGAAGTGCCTTGGTGGGCAGCCTATTCTCCTCCGCGAGAGGTTGTAGGCCTAAGTAAGTAAGTTTTCATTGAATGAACCAGTTTTCAACTTTCTATGATTAAGATATGATGAAGCTTTTCACTTTTTATAATGTAACAACTTATCTATGTTTAGCCTTTCTCATTATCATTGATAATTCTACTGTTTTTACTCTTTTGACATTGTTATTTTAATATTTTGATGCTTATTTATTTTGAGAACTCAGGTTAACACGTTTGTACCTAGCTCTATCTTAAATATGATTAAATCAACAGACTATCTTTGATTATATTTCGGTAGTGACATCTTGGTAAGTATTTACTGATATAATTACTATGCCGCGATAACTAATATTGTACAATACAATTAGAGCTTCGGAAGACTGTTAGCACTCAGAGACTTATACATTGCATTTCAGCGATTAATTCTAATTTGAAAATGTTATCTGTTTTTTGTAAAGACAAAATTTTAAAAGTTTATTCCACTTAAAATTATCTGAAATCAGAATACTTCAACATCAGTTCTTAAATTTCATAAGACACAAACTAGAAAGCTCATTTTTAATGTCAAACAATATAGATAATTAAGGAAATAACAAATTTTATCCTATAAGTTTCGAAGTGCATTTTCAGATACAAAAGTAACTCATGATTTTAGCTGTCTGCTCTATGGTCAATTATCTTATTATGAAATTATTATCATTATTAATAATGGCTTTATTCAATATTATATTGTGGTACAATATAGAATCATCGGCATAGGGTATTTCAACAAGTTGCTCACGCAAAAAAAATCAGTGGCAAAGACAAAAAAAGAAAAAAAAAGGTTCAAAAAACGGAACCGAAAAACTGCACAATTTTTCAAATTAAAGACATGTTAAGAATGCAGGTTATTGACTACGTTAATTCTAACAACCTGTTCGTCACAGAGTATATTTGCTAGGTAAGGTATTATAGAACTTTTATACTTTTGCTTGCGTGCATGGATTTTAATGTAATTACGTCTCGTTCTACCAGAAGATATACAAGGAGAAAGATACGAGTGAAGGGGATGGTTAGTATGTGATAAAATAACACCTGCCAGGAGTTTGCATGACTTTAGTTGTCTATCCACAACCATATTAATTATGAACTCGAAAGATTCGCCACACACCTTGCTGACTGCCTTCAGCACTCTCTGCAATACAGCAGTCTTTTCTCAAAAGCCCGGGAAAGAATAATGGAGAACAGTAAAGAATAATAGACAATATGCAAAAATGGACAAATTGTAAGAGTAAATGACGAGTAATCCCAAGAGCATGCAATCTCTTTATGTAGTAAGTCAGACGGAAAACCTTCTTCGATAACAATAAAACGTGGGAATACCAAGAGAGATCAGAGGAAAAGGTAACACCAAGATAATTGAACTTCGACACTGTGTTTACCAAAGAGTCTCCAATGGCACCGTAAAACATTAAAATCTCTCTCTCAAAAATTAGATTAAAATGTAACTGTATCTCTTTATAACCAGCAACCAGAATAATGATTCACATTGTGTAGAAAAGGTTTCACTTACCGATCAAATGATGATCCATTCCAGCATCGATTTTTATCTTCTTGTGAACAATAAAGTAACTCAATATTGCTCATATACTGAACTTTATTGTCTCTATCATGAAGATATGAATTTAGATCTTTCGTAACTTTCTCAATGAAATTGTTTAATTTATCGTAGTCCTCAGTGTTAAGTTGCAAATAATTACTCATTGTTTCATTTAGTGTATGATCATTTCCATTTAAGTTACTGAACAAACCTATAGTAGTTTGTAAAGTACGCGGCTTATTTTTTCTACAAAACTTCTCAAGCTATAAACAAAATAAAAAGGAAATTACAACTTTTGCAATATATATATATATATATATATATATATATATATATATATATATTACCGTGTATACCTTAACACTGGTGTAATTTGGGTATCACGACTTTGTTTTATATGGACTTTTGATGTTTTGTCCATCATTATTTATTTCTTGAGATAAACACTTTATTTTTTATAATATTATTAGTTAAGATTAGGATTATCCCACTCTGATACAATTAGCTAAGTTCTGACCAGTCTATGTTGGCAATCGTGTATCCTGTGAGGTTTCCCTCAATACAGCCATCTGGTAACAAGTTCTATTAAACAGATGAATTACATTTATGAGTAGAATGTAGAGCAGACGTTTCATCTTGGCCAAGATTCTTCAGCCATAATAATTTGCATCCTAGTGTTTCTGTTTACATAGAGACTCAAGCCACATGTCTTTCGCTTTAGTTCATTACGTTACTCATTAGCTAGTAATCACGGATAGACGCTAACTTGTTCAATGTTTGTGATACTTTTAGAATTATCAGAACGTGTTTAAACTGTCTCGATTAAATCCAGTGAATAGAACGAAACTCCTGTTTTGCCGCTAACCATAATCCATATGTTCTATAAAACATAAATGCGTCAACATGTGTGCTTCATTGTAGATTTAAAATAGTGCTGAAATTCATATTAAACAATCAGTTACTTTATAAGCGGTTATATTACTTAAATCTCAATTAGGTTAATTATCGACTTTATCATTATTTTTATGATTCGTTTTGTTGTTTAGCTTTGTATTTTTAAGCTAACTTTGATCTTTATATTAATGCTAATATCTACTATGTTAATAACGTTCTTTGACTAAGATATGATGAGGTCAAACAACGAAACTTAATAAACAAACAACTTTGTTGACCGTAGTTGTTGAATATACTTAAGAAATTTAAGATTACAATTGGAACACCAATCAACATAAACCAGACATAGAATCGCGCAATACGATCCATAAAAGTCCATAGATATTAGAAAAACTTACTTTGGGTTGGATTAAGGCTTCATTTTCGTTGGCTTCTTTAATCCCTTTTTTAATTAAATGATACACAGTAGTGGCACTTAAAAAGTAGCTCAAATCATCAAAACGAATTGGGTTTGAGTAACTCCATGCTAACTTCTGATTTGAATAGATGAATTGTTTAGGAAAAAATAAGATAGACGGAGCTAAACATCCGCGAAAAACATTTATACAGTAACTGTTGCATGGGTTTGAACATACTTGTTTATTATCAGCTGCAAAGCACTTATCTAAATTCGGGCAACCCAAACTGAGGTCCCTCATACAATGACTGCACGATTTGCTGGGTCCTGAATTCAAAACTGTTCTCGTCATCTGAAACATGCAAGTTCAGTGATATTAAAAGTGAATAAATGGTCTGAATCAGAGAGGCGATGAGCATTTAAATAAGCTTGCTTTCATTTAGCAAGTAATTATTGAACATTTCCCATTATATTAAAAAAAACACAATTGTATGAACGAAGAATATTCTTTTTAATAATTTCTCATCAGGTTCTACAATTATAAATCCAAATTAATAATCCATAAAATTGACCAGATTTAAGGCAGAGTACGTCCTTTGGAAGTCGTATTACGTGAATTAAGAATTGTTGTTTGTTATCAAATCAGATCGTTAATGTTGGGGCTGACTAATATGAAGTTGTTAACCAAACATATACGAAACAATTAAGCCAATAGGTACGCATTTACCTAAGTTATACGGACTGCCGAAGATACATAAACCGGATATCCCATTAAGGTCAATTTTGGACATGTACGATTCCCCATATCATACTGTAGCAACGTGGTTAGTAACCGTTTTGAAACCACTCCATAAACACCTGGTGGGACATAGTATTAAGGATGTATTCCGATTCGTTGACAAGATTAAAAACATAAACACGAAAGATCAAACGATGATGTCCTTTGGCGTAACATTATTGTTCACAAATGTCTCACTCAGAGAAACTGTAGAATATATTTGTGAATAATTTAGAAAACAGGAACTGGAAACGACAATCCCTGTAGAGATCACCAAAGAATTATTACTAAAATGTACTATTAATGTACATTTCAAATTCAATGGTGAAATCTTCAGACAAATAGATGGTGTCGCGATGGGTTTACCCCTGGGTCCCAATATTGGCAGACATTTCCCTCTCTAAACTAGAAAACTGCCAACTAGCACAAGAGATCGACAACTTTTCACTTTACTACCGATATATGGATGATACATTTATCCTTTGTAACAACCAGACATACTTCCTAGAAACACTCGAGCGTTTCAATACAGTTCACCTGTCCATAAAATTCGCATGGATGGAGGAAAATGGGGGTAGAATAGCCTTTCCAGATGTTCTACTTACAAGGAGGAAGGACGGGTCGCTAAAAAGAAACATATACAGGAAAATTACCTGGAAGGGTTAATATGCAAACTTTCTTGGTTTTGTTCCTCTACATTACAAAAGGAGCTCTATTAAGATACTGCATCATAGAATCAAGACTATATGCTCTGTGGATACGACTGAAGATGAAACAAAGGCATTATGCACAACCCTGAAAGAAAATGGATGTCCCGAGAAATTTACAAATAAAAACGGCCAATAAAAGACAGCATAGAGAATATCTAACTGTAAATAAAAAGCCTATGTATATAAGCTTACAATTCAGAGGCGATGCACCGAGTGAAATGCTAAGACTTATGTTAAGCAAATCAATTCAAAGGACTTTTGATGCGTGTAAACTACAACTAACGTTCTCTACACGACCAATAATCACTCCGAGGTTGAAAGATAAATTACCTAGACTAGCCACTTCTCTCTGTATCGATCGTTTATCGCAAAATTTCATTTTACTTATAAACTGATTCAAGTTAAAATCTTCATATTAGTCAGCCCCAACATTAACGATCTGATTTGATAACAAATAACAATTCTTAATTCACATAATACGACTTCCAAAGGACGTACTCTGCCTTAAATCTGGTCAATTTTATGGATTATTAATTTGGATTTATAATTGTAGAACCTGATGAGAAATTATTAAAAAGAATATTCTTCGTTCAAACAATTGTGTTTTAATTATTGAATGATTGTTGTACATTAATTACTTACCTTTTAACTTCCGTCTAAACTTTTTTTACCATTATGACTCAGTCCAGTGATTTAGAAGCATATTTTTCATTTTTTTTATAAGAATGTAGTGAGAGCAGAAAAATTATCCAAAATAATCATTTGAATTTGATGTGAAAACTGTTTTATGAAGTCTTTTGACCACTTAGTGTTTATAAATTTAAATTAAGTTGAATAACAATATTTCAAAATCACAGCATATCTTAATGTTTAAAACTTTTACATAAATGTAAACGTTTGTGTTCTCCCTCAACAAACCTTTGAATCGTAGAAATCCCTAATAATTATTATTACTGAGCAGCAAAAGGTCCTCAGAGATGACTAAATTTAGAATTTTACGCTAAACTGCAATAACCAGCAAATGTGTCACTTGAAAATTGCAGAGAAAGTAACAGCCCGTGACCGAATGGACTCAAGGAAACAACATTCTCCATTAAAAACTAATAAGAGAAACTGCTGTTATAATTTACTTTTCACAAAACATAAAACACTTTAGATTCTATTAAATTATTTTTGCCTTCGACCATATCTAATGCCCCACCACGCAATTTCAGGCAACTAATTTATCTATGCAAAAACGAACTAACAAATATCATGAAATTGTAATACTTTGAGTTGCTTAGCTTATATTTTAGGTGACGGGATTTGTGATTATTATTAACCAACTTTGCAAATTGATGTTTTGCTTAAATTTTAGTTGTAAAATTTACCTTATGCAAAATGTCTTGTCGTCAAAAAATAACGTTCAATGGGTTAGTTCAATTAATAGACCTATTTTTCAACGAAGTAAAGTAATATTACGTTAATGGACCCGTAAATGAGTGATGGATTTCTTCTTTCCATAGATTCATACTTTAAAATTAAAGGCTCAATAAATAACAATTCTCAAACGATCATATTTACGACAAATACATACTTTGAATGACCATTTTAACAGTTAGAACATGATGATTACCTACTTAATTCTGATCAATCTAGTTATCTGAAAAATACTTATCCACTATTGTTGGCATTATGTACCTCGGAATCCGCTTTTCGTTATTAATAATTGCTTCTCAACTCCTCATTAATAATGTTGTATTCAGTGTCATCATTAGTAAATAACGTCGATTTTCAGTTTTTATCGCCCTAGATTTTGTCATGAATTGATTTTGTATTTATATGATATTTGAATGCCAGCCGGGTAGTAACTTTAAACTAACACCACAAAATATTTCAGAAGACAACTTCATAAAAAATTTCAATAAACTACTGGGCTGAGATACTCGAAAAAGATTCCTAAGTGTTGAATCTCTTAGAAAAGTGAACCGTTCATTACCTATTTTATCACTGCTAACATTATTCAACGTTAAACGTTTTAGAATTAAAGTTATAGTTGTCAAAGGATTCGTCGACATGAACGACGGCTAATTTTTCCAAAGCTTGTTAACTTGACACATTATGTGGATTTTCTTAGCATAAGTGAGAAATTTTAAATATTTAAGGTTCACAGAAAATGTTTGAACATGAAGAAAAATCCACAACGTTACTGGTACTATTGTGCATAAGTTCGTTCAGTCGTTTTGTCACCTATATACATATGTACCTATATACCAATCACCTCCAATCAAATAAACAATATTATTTAAAAGTTTGTTGAATAAAAGAACTAACTTGTAATAATTTTTGCGCATTAAGGTACCGCGTAAGACCAGAGCTAAAAGCTTTAAACCAGTTGATTGTTAGGTCACCAAAGATGTTGACTGATTGAGCAGCAAACTCGTTTATTTTGAAGCATTTTCGCAGTTCTGAAGCTGAGTAACCAAATTCTACGTTTCTTTTTTCGTAAGTTAGGATGGAAATCATGAGATTTTGCAGATGCTGGTCAATAACATTGTAAGATACTTCTGCAGGCAACATTTTGAACATTTCTTCAACGCTGTGATAGAATAATGATCCATGGATATAAAGTTCCATATCCGTAATATCATTGCTTTTTGCGAAATCCAACAGGAGATTTTTGTTAAAGTGTATGAGTTTTGATGGAATCTCTATTTAAAATGTTATGATGATCCTGAAAGCCTAATTACCATTGAGATTAAGAAGAATCTTTTCAAGTTGCCTGTATCCTGTTATATCTTGAAAAATCGCTTTATAACCATCCCTGGAATTCTTATACATAGATAACGTCCTACATAAATTAAAATTATCAATTCCAGAAGAATTCATTGGTCTTGGATTCCGCGTCATATCCCCATATATGTAAAGAAATTCAGGTGTCAAAAAAAAAAGGAGGAAAAACCAGTACATTTACAGCCAATCATCAAACTATATAGAATATGTTGCGCAGTAACATAAAATGTAATTCAAGTTGTGTCGCAAAATATCCTAACCGTTGAAACAATCTGAAACTTTCAAACAAACGGTCTTTTACGAAGAACAAACTGTTTGCTCATCATGATATAGGTCCATGCTGTTAGATGTAGTTTTTATTCACAGTGTTTCTCGGATCTATAAATACTGTTTAGTAAGAAGATGATATTGGTATCACTGGTCTATTTACCTGTGAGTCTAAAATAAACGTCAAGAATTTTTATACAATAATTAGCATTAAGTACCACCAACTTTCCTTTCGGCAGTCAATTCTACGGTTTACTGACTTGAAATTTCCTAGGTGTTTTCTGTGCATTCTCGTTCATCTTCTATTGAAGATATTACAAGAATTTGGAGTTTGACAACACCTTAACTAGTAACAACTTCTATAATCGAAAAGTGCCAACCCGGTGAAATCACAAGTCAGAAGCGAGAAGGTTCGAAGATATATTTGAGAGGCTATCAGTATAACGGGAAATAACTGATCTAAACTGGCTAGCTGCTGTAGACGTCGAGCAGATGAGTGACCCAGCGCCTTCAGCTAGGTGAGTCCATTAAAACTAATCGTGTAGAAGTTTTGACCCATATTGATTAAAGATTATAAGGGATCCATGAATCACCCCGGAAGTCGAAGTGTCGTCCCATAGACGAGTTGTGATGCAGTATATCCAATATCAGCTTTTACCGCATTGCGAATATTAAGTGAAATGAATGGAAGAGTGTTGGTCTGTTGAATTGTGGTCTACTTCGTTGTTAGTACTGCTCCAATAATAGACCTAATCCTAGAGTTTTAAATTTGTCATTTCGTAACTGCCTAATCTATAAGATCTTACGTGGAAGTCACATAATTGTCTACACTGACTCGTGTGTATATATATTTTCTCCATGGCACTAACTCGTGTATCGTAACAATAACCAATGTAGGTTGCAGTTAAACGCAACTCAATTTCGTAAATGTGCCCTTCAGCTTAGCAACCAATCAGGATGAGGCGGGAATTATTACATCCGCCATCTTTGTAAGCAATGGCGGTCGGCTTTCTTCGTTCTGTGCTTCTTTCAGCTAATTCTTTTGTGTAGCTATGTAATTTAATGTCTCAGTGTGCTAAAATGCCGCATTTAGTGTAATGTTCTATATGTCTGTGTGAAGTTTATTTCGAATCAGCGATGTTTTCTGGGTTTTTGCTGCTTCTACTCAAGTCAATGTATTTCTTCGAGCAATCTGGTTAGTCTTGTGTTATAAAATGTCCGCCGGCTTTCTTCGTTCTCTGTTTTTTTCCGCTATTTCTTTTGTGTAGCTACAGAATTTGATGTTTCAGTGTGCTAAAATCCAGAAGTTAGTGTAATACTCTGAACGTTGGAGCAAAGTTTTTCCTGATTTCGCTTTGTTTTCTGGGTTTTACCTGCTGCTACTGAAGTCACTGTATTTATTCAGTTAAGCTGGCTAGTACTAACATAAGACCTTACGTTTTCAAACGACAATCGGTTATGTTTTACATTGTTTTCTAGATATCCGAAGCCGAAGTTCGTTTTCATTTAGCTAAAATAATTGTTGCTGCCGCCTGTGACTCTAACTGTTCGCATGTTCGTTCCTAACTGTCCTTTAGGATGTTATCGGCAAAATGAAAGGAAACAATCTGCGGTTTTTAATTTTCTTCAGTATTATGGACAACACTGTCCCACCAACGAGTCAAACTAATACAGAGTGCCCAGCAGTAGGGTATATCGGTACTGATTTCGAAAGGACCCAGACTTCCAACAATTATAGATGAAGTCACAGATGTTACCAATCTATTGCAGAGGGTTTGTTATGAAAAGTATGCCATATAACAGTAACAGAGGGGTTGTACCCATTACTCAGTGCGTTAAAGCAAGCTTAATATTGAAAAGCCGGAAATCTGCTACCAGTGTCTTGTGTATGTTTGCTGTTTTGGCCATAAAAGGAAGCCGAAGGGTCATGATCAGGGAGTAAAAAGGTAATTAACTGTTATTAAGCTCACTTTTTTATAGATTATATTTCACCACTCGCAAATTTGTGTTTTCTTACGGTATGATGTCAACTGGTACCTAATATGTTCACCCTTATGATGAAAAGTACCTGCAAATTTTCACCTTCATATTCGAATTATTTTTGGACAACTGTCTTACAGTCTGAGTGCTTCGTACGCCCTGGGAGACTAGATTCCTACATTATTCGTAGTTCCAGTATAACTTTCTCACGCAGTAAGTTCAAATTAGACACTAGTCTTTCTAAATAAGCCTTTTAAGCTAATATCCATATTCTCTATTTCAGTTAACCGATGAAGACATGTACCACGTGTATCTGCTGTATACTGCCACTTTACTTTAATTCTAACTGTTATATCTTACTTTTGAATAATAAAATTGCTATATGCTGCATATACAGACTTATTTGTTTTGATGGAGGTAGGGGGGTTCATGTGATTTTCACTAAAGAGCTAGGCGAGTGCGTAAACCAGTGTAAGGTACCATACGGGGTGCATTTGAGTTACTAGTGTTGCATTAGTGCGGGTAGGGGCATTGCTTGCTTGTCATATGGCATTTGAATTAGAAGCTATAAGATAAGAAGCAGGTACGGTTAGGATGTGTAACGCGTGTCCATCCATCAGCTGGCGTGACAACCCATGGTGGTTAGAATAAGCTATGAGAGGACTCGAGTCTGTAGGTCTCCCAAGGAAATGGCAAAGATATCCACCAAATCACCTTATGAAGAGCGCCTGCAATCACTTAACCTCCACTCATTAGAGTATAGACGTCTTAGAGGTGACCTAATGGCTTACAATAACCTTAACACTCCTGGACATCCCCTAAATAACCTAATTAAGCTTAGTTCCAACACTAACCTAAGGGGTAACACCCAGAAACTAGAGACACAACATAGCAGAATGGACTGCAGGCACAACTTCTATCCCTTAAGAGTTGTCAAATGCTGGAATTTTCTGCCGGCCGAGCTAGTCCAAGCGACTTCCCAGGAGTCCTTTAAGAGGCAACTGGATTTATTCTTAAGGACTAAGTATAGTATCATACTATGATTTACCGATTTCTTTTTCCTCTTTTATTGTTAACATACCTAGTTTCCTGCCTTGAGGTATTGGTGATTCCCTGCTACTAGGCACGGAAGCCTGTTAAGCGAAAGCTTCTTCTATTCAGTCCACAACCATTTGAACACATGAACTAGGTGCTGAGAGGCTCGCTTATCACAAGTTTCTTGCAACGATTATGTAGATAAAACAAAGTAGCATTAGATTCAAAAATTTGTTCAAGAACTTTCATTAAGAATCGAATATCAAACAAAGGTTTAAACCAAGTTCCCGTTTAAAAGTTGTATTGGTAATGTTGAGCTGCAGTTTTTGTTGTTTTTTCCAAACGAAAGAGTAAAAGAAGTCACAAAATACCGGAAGTGGTTGTGAGACTAAAATGGACGTCCAGCATCCTTTTTATCATCTGCTGTTCGTTGGATTTCCCGTAAACAGTTCCATAGGGCCATAGTTTCAAGGGCGAAACAGTTTTTAGGGTCTGTGAAGGCTCACTACTGTTGCATTCTAAATGAAAAAATATTGATGAATTTAGTCAGAAATGTGGAATATATAAATAACCAAATCACATGTGTTTTAGCAAAGAATTTATGCAGTTGTGATTTACCTTGAGTTCATCAATATTAGATAAGGTCAGCTACTATTACTTGTGCAAAGCATAACATGGGATTAGTACCGTATTGCAATGCTTTTATTATCTTGCTCCCATTTAAGTATTCCTATGCATCTGAGTCTAGTTTAACAGGAAAACATACAAGCAGAGTAAGTGTCTGATAAACTAAAAGTCCCAGTTGTCAAAAAGATTCTTAACATTTGTCCACAGCCAGCTGCATTTAATTGAGACACAAAACACTCATCTTCTAAGATTGTATACTGCTGTTTTGCGGGCAACTTAAAGCTCAGACGCTTAGCTAACTTGCTACCGATGTTATTGCTGGGGAAATTGTTTAATGACAGTGATAATGAAATATGGTCAGTGATAGATGTACAGTTTAGAAATAAACACCAAACATACTTACCGCTATCTTATAACGTATGACAGCAACAGCATCAAAGGCACATTTTTTCCTATTTTTAATCAGACTGATCTGAATCAGTATACACATTGGAAACAGGCAACTCTACTTACTAAACTGATCTGTTTCGTTACAGGCTTCAAGCACTATACTTAAGTATATCATAATTCTTTCAACTAAACTGAATTATACGACAACCAAGAACACTAAACTAAGCAAGTGTCATAGTTATTGTTTCACTTGCAAAGACATGTTGCTCAAAGTAGTTAAATGGACACAATTAAGCCGATAAAATCAAAACAGGAAATATAGGCCAGTTGAACTTACCTAAGAAAAAAAGAAGGATACATATATACTGCTTTCATACTGAAGACAACAGGCAGTTGTTCATAGAAACGTAGTTTGTAGTACAACAAACATTTCTTCAGTAACATCATACACTGACAGTCTATCTGGAAACAATCAACTATGTGAATAAACTCACTATGACTTGAGATATCATCCCAGCGTGCAATGGACATACAGTGTAACGCAGTCAGACGTGGCGAATAAAAATTAAAAACAGATCAAAATTAATTACATAATCTAGTTATTTAATTAAAAATACATTATGAAATGGCAAAATCTGTGGTTACTTGAACGCACAGACGACAGTGTGCGATACATTAAGTTTACATGGTTTCGTTGCGGATAAGATCACCCACCAATGTATGCTGTAAAACTCATTCAGGGTGAAGTAAAGCAAGTTTTACTGAGCAACTGCAGCTGCGAGGCTGAACCATTCCACTCGCTCGGATTCAATTCAATTCCCTCTTCTCGCCTTCTCCATCGTTAAGTTTTTCTCCGCGCTAAATTTTAAATATCTTGT